GGAAAGCTGCAGGACACCCTGTGTCCAGCGAGCTGGTGTCTGAGGCAATTAGGAATTTGGGAAAGTTGGGGGTTGCTTTGTGTGTGTGTGCTGTGAATGTGTGAAGCTGAAATACATGCTGTGATCCCTCATCTTGGCCCAGGATGAGTTCTGAGAACCAGCGTCAGGCACCAGGACACCTTTCCACAGGTTCACAGCTAAATGAGACAAACTGTTTAGAAGAGGCGATGTTTGGTGCTAGGAAAGAGTCTGGTGGGCTCTGTGCAATGGGACGTTCTCATCCTGGCTTCCTGTCTCAGATCTTCGTGGTGCTGTTGGTCATGTCACTGTGCCTCGCCATTGCCTCTGGGTTCTGGGCCAGGACGTTCCAGGAGAAGCACAGCTACCTCTCTGCTCTTTACAAGCACACAACTCCTGCCCAGCAGGCCTTCTTCAACTTCTGGGGCTTCACGATCCTCCTGAGCATCATCATACCCATGTCCATGTATATTATGTAAGAACAACAGAGCTTGGAAGTGATCAGAGATCATTACCCCACTCCCTGTCATTGGCCATCATCTGGCACCTTGGTTTATAGCCACAAAATGGGGCTGGACAAAAGACCCATCTGTGACCTTGAAGTCATTCCCCTGTGTTCCTTTAGCTATAAGAGGGTAAGGGGGGGTGTGTGGGGGAGATCTTATGAACACTGATGATGTGCTTTGAGATCTTCTCAGAGGAAAGCCAGAAAGGAGATGCAAAGACACGTACTGATGTTGGAAATCGTGGGCAGGCTGAGAATGAGACTTTTGGTGCAGGTGGTGTTTCCACACTGAGCAGCAGAGGGTGGGGAAGAGAAGGGCATAGCCTTTGCGAGCAGGGAATAATAGCAATTTGTGCTGGAAAAAGCCATTTCCAAACTGTTCAGCCCTTTGCTGAATCTCCAGATCTAAGAATTTTGTCACCAAAGGTCAGATTTCCAGAGGGGACCCCAGTTGCCTGGGACCCAGTGGGCTCTCAGTCTGGTCATCGTACCAGACTCATCAGAGCCTTCTGGAAGCCTGGCCAAAAACAAGGAAAAACCTTTTTCCTCCCCCGAGCTCAGAACAATAGGATCCAGGTGGGGAGTTCCTCTCTGCCTTTTCTTCCCCACGTCAGATTCTCAAGTGCCTCTTGGATGTGAGTAATGAAATCTCCTTCCCCAGTGTAAGTTTTCTTCTCCCTGCCTCCCTAGGCTTGAATTCATCTATCTGGTGAACAGCTTTTTTATCAACTGGGATCTGGAGATGTATTACGCTGTCAAGGACATTCCAGCAAAAGCCAGAAGCACCAGCCTCAATGATCAGCTTGGCCAGATTGAATATATCTTCTCGGACAAGACTGGCACCTTGACACAGAACATTATGAGCTTCAAGAAATGCTGTGTCAATGGGACTGTCTATGGTAACTTTTGGTGGAAGCAAGTTTGTAGGGACTTATAAGTTAGGTAAAGCTTGAATTGGTTCTTTCCACTCTTCCTGCCTTGTGGGAAGCGTGAGGCATGTGGATTGATTTTGGTGCTCCAGCATGTAGACAGAAAATGATGTAGGAATTTGGCTTATTCTCATCGCCCGTGTCACTGGTGATTTGCAGGGACCACCATGCCTATGGCCACACAGTGCATGGAGTCAGGGCACTGCCCTTCAGGAGACGTATCATGCCCCAAACTCAGCTGTTCAGGGGTTAGGAGCCCAGCACAGGTACATGGCAAACGCATGGTGCGAGCAAGGTGGATCCCACCTGGAATAATTAGCTGATGCTGCCCAGGACAGGGCAAGCAGAAGAGCCGTGGGGTGATGGGCCAGTGAAGCCCATGGATTTTTATTTTCTATGAAGATCTCGGAGAGAAAAAGGAGATTTTGCTTTTCTTTGCATTGTTTTTCTGGTGAAAACCAGCTTGGTTTCCAAATTTGGGCACTTTGAGGCTTTCGGGTGACCTATGGAGAAGGAAAAGATATTATCGTTCCTCTCATGTTGTTTCATCACAGTTAATGCATATAATTGCTCTTTGGTTTTTCTCCCTTTTTTTTTTTCCTCATGTTCCTGCTTAGTTTTCCCCTTAGAAACCTGAGAATTGCCAAGTCCTTCCTCTCATTGCTGTACTTCCTGCAGCTCCCAGCTGGCTTCTGGGAGCTGTCTCAGGGTTTAATGAGTGAAATTCAGCAGGCTGGGCAGGCCAGAGCCTTAGCATGGAGCTCCTTCTTGCTGAGATAAGGATCAGGCACTTGTGACAAATGGACAGTGCTAAAAGCAGGGAGGAAGGGAAGAAAAAGAACCTGGCAAAGTTCTTAAGCAGGAATCAAACCCATTTTCCGCTGCCTGGTGTGTTGTGTTGCACCTCGGTGATAGCAGCACCGCTGTAACCCCGCAGTCTCCGAGGAGATGCAGGAGGAAGCTAGAGTTGAGTTTTTAACGTTAAAAATGTGTCCAAAGTCTGAACAGCCCAAGAGCCAAATAAGTCAAACCCGGCTATTCTGCCAGAGCCTGGTTTATGACCAGGCTGAGAACTGGTCCTTTCTTGCCACTCTCTTGAGCAGCGAAAGGAGAGGTCTCTTGTTGAGAATCTGCTCAAAAACACCCCCCCCCCCCCCGGTAGCACTGCGCCTCG